ATCAAAAGTCGCCTTGGAGTTGTGACTAGATTTGTATTAACAGGACGTTGGTACCTCGATGAATCCGAGCTGGCTTTTCGTCCGTCCAGTGGCAGACTTCGTATTGGGACCAAAAACCAATAAAAGGCTCATCAACAAAACCAGACGAGTGTCTGACGTTGCGCAATCGGAGTGATGGTCATAACATGTTTGTAGAAAGGGTGAGATAGGAGTTGTCAAACTTTGATGGTCAAAAGCAGTCGTTACTTTTTGCTGTCCTAATTACTTTAAGCCATCACTTCGGGTTTCGTGCAAAAGAAAACACAAACAGGCACATAAAAATACAGAGACAGACACACTCACATGCATCGAAGTTGAAATATGACCGTAACTAACCAAATCACTTTATACTCGATAAAAGAGGCCAGATTTAGAGTATATATACCACTTTTTAGGGATTTGCCGGTAAGTTTTCTTGACTTTTTAGCTTGAATTTTGTTGTGACGATGTTACCTCGCTCTGATGGTGTCCGTCATATGCCGGACTAAAGCTTAGCACCTTTTCACCGGAATCGAAGGAGATTGCCTTGGAAACAGCGTCAGCATGAATTTTCCAGTAAAGCCAATCGACAGCTGAGCAAGAGGAATCCGCCGTCGTCTTCTGTTGGAACCGACCTTCGAATCTCTTCACCCGACACTTTCACTAGAAACAAAAGTATGCCTGACTCTTAATACTAGTCAAAGTGGTTTCGAATGTTTGCTTATATTCTTACTGCTGCTAGGCAACAATTTGTCATGTTCCTATTGAACGTATTACCCACTATTTTTATATTTTATTTAGATTTTGGTTTCCAAATGTATTGCCTTTCCCCACTCATCCGGACTCATTGTTTCTTAAATCCAGTGTCAATTTGTGTTCCAACATATATTTCTTCTAATATTCTTGAATTTGGCTACTTTATTAACTATTTACATAATTTTATTCGCCATGCTTACATCCCAGACTGACATATTTACTTGGAAACTGGTCGAATTGGGCAACCTGTTTAAGTTGCGTGTCAGATCGGACGGCTCCGGGCTCAACTCGAGCTGGCTGTTGTCGCGGGTTGAGGTGGCCGATCTGTCACGTGGCTCTGGCTCAAGCCTGACCAGTTTGCGAGAGACACTCCCTGAAGTCTCTCAACGAGGAGTCAGTGCAAATGGTTATAGTGTGTTCCACTGCGAGCGTTGGCTGTCAAAGTCAAGAGAAGACAGACGACTGGAGCGAGTGTTGTACGTTGAAGGTTATACGGGGCCCCGGGATCCGGTTAGTTCGGCTTCAATGGGGAATATGCGTCTTTCAAATAGCTCGTTGACTTCGACGGAATCTGGTGCCACTGCAAGCTCCAAAACCGGGCTCAACGTCAACATATCTACAGGCCACTTCCGAATACCTCGCGCCAACTACGGCTCTGGGCTCCTACCGGCCAGTCAGTCGTTCAGTCAATTACCCCTACACAAGTTGACGAGAGCGGATCTGGACAAAGCCGGATTTGGGTTGAAACTGGATCAAGTAGATGAACAAAGTGAGTGTACCACAATTAGCAAGTGCTTTTATTAGATGTTTGTACCCTATTTTTTATTTAAGATGATGAAGGATTGTTATTTGAATTTTCCCAGAATGATATGAGTCGAGCTGACGTTCTTATTAAAATTTTTACATATCTTCGCTTTCCCAAAATTTGTTCTCATCAACAACCTCGCATAGGTCTTATCAACATCCCCATTCCTATCACCAAAGAAAAAAAAGAGAAGAAAATCACTTTGTCCTGAGATGAATTCATCATATTTGATTTAAGATGATGAAGGATTGTTATTTGAATTTTCCCAGAATGATATGAGTCGAGCTAACGTTCCCATTAAAATTCACATATCTTTGCTTTCCCAAAATTTGTTCTCATCAACAACCTCGCATAGGTCTTATCAACATCCCCATTCCTATTACAAAATAAAAAAAAGAGAAGAAAATCTCTTTGTCTTGAGATGTATTCATCATATTTGATTTAAGATGATAATGGATTGTTACTTGAATTTTCCCACAATGATATGAGTCGAGCTAACGTTTTCACTGAAATTCACATATCCTTGCTTTCCCAAAATGTCTTCTTATCTAAAAGGGACTGCAGTTTCGTCCTCACATAATTCTTGCTATCGCCCCCAACAAAGGTGGAACCATGACAGTGAAGCGTGTCATATTGACAAGTTGACCACTACGCAAAATTACCTTAAGTGCCCATGAGCCATGCATTTTTCCGTATCACATTTTTTCATTTCCACCTTCATCACCTTAAACGAAATATGATGAATACATCCCATATAATTGATTTACTATTAGTCATGAAATCCCACTTATAAAAAATGAAAAATAAATACTTGTTTTTATTCCAAGT